TAGGGCCAACATATACATATAAGAGATCTATTTTATTATTTATTTTGTCACCTTAGCTTATGTTTATACATAATGACTGAATGTTTTTTAAAGCCAAAGTCATTAAAAACAATAACAAACAACGAATTGCGTAATCAAATTCCTTCTGTAAATAAATTTGCTATTTTCACATATTCACCTATTAAGGCCTATTTTCACATTAAACATTATCAATTTCTTCTTCTTTATCAGCTTTTTTTAAATACACTGTTGCTGTGTTTTTAGAAATAAGACAAACAATACGTGTCTTGCCGATGCTAAGCGCAGACCAGAGCTTCAATAGTTTTGCTACGACCCATCGCAAGACCGTGAAAGGGATCTATATTTTGGATATGTTTTCCTATATGCCATGCCTTAAGCGTGTTAATAATATTTACACGTCTAATTTAATATTTAAATATTTTCATTCAAGTAAAATTCCTTCCTGACGTATTATTTTATCGTCTATTTTTTAATATATTGACAGTGACAAACGAACACACAGTCCACCTGATGGTAAGAGGATACTGTGGTCCATAGACATCTACAGTTACCCTCTATTGAAAATCAATATGCACATGCGTTGTCACCCACGAGAACTAAGATGGAATGGCTCCCATTCACTAAAAAGAGTCTCCGGTTCTCTACACACACCATACGAAACACAGCAGCATTAAGCTGCTATTTACGCTGGTATTCTGTGAAAGCGTGGTCCAATCGCGGTCAAGCCAACCCATTCGTGCTACAGCCATAGTATAGCTGCAGCATGGCTCTACCACGTAAGAAACACATTACATTATAAATTACCGTGTAACGGCAACGTGAGAGAATCCATTACCACATATCATTCCGTGGGTGTTGTAAGAGGCGACAATGGGTTACTACAACATGATATGGACAGCAGCATCTTCCTGATAACAACTCAATTATAATAAAAAAATCTGCGGCTACCAACCGTCTGCCAAGCGTGGCAACTATCCCAATCTTTGTTTCAGTTTTAAACTTATTAGCTGACGTACTTATAATGAAAACTGCACTAAATGTTTGTATCAATTAAGAAATTACATAGTTCCTTATTTGAAATATAAATTTAAATCTTGTTATAACTTTTTTATCTGTTGTTATCTGCATATTGCGTACACTCTAGTACGCAATTTCTACGAGGTCGACCCGCTGGCGACGGTAGTGCATTTAGAAGTACATAATTGCCACATGCTATTTTAATGAAAATTGCTCCGGGTACTTTTTGGTCCAAAGTAATGAATTTGAATCTGTATATGGAATTTTATTACACTAATAAACTTACATTTATTAACAAAAACCTTACTGTCACGATTTCTTTTCAAGAATTTAAATACATTTAAATTATTTCCTTTTTATCATAAAACTAGCGATCCGCCCCTGCTTCGCACGGGTGATTTCTAGATCTCAACAACAGCTCCACCTACTGGGTCCAATTGTGAATCTAAACCATCTAGGGGCCCACTCAAATGCATACAAAAAAATCATCAGAATCAGTCAAACCAGTTTCGAGTTTTAGCGAGACTAACAGACAGCAATAGATTTTTATATATATTTAAAAAATATTATAAAGTATAAATTTGGAAATTATATCAATAATTTAAAGAATAAACATACCGACGTAAGTCCTTCTTATTTAAAAATAGCTAAACTTCAGCTTACTTATAAAGCAAAAGTGTTATATATACTTATGAAAGCAAAAAGCCGTATTGAATTATGAATGAACATGCACCGTTTATAAGGTTTCGATGTAAGTACGTAGAAAACTGAAAACAAATGCAGTCAAGTTTATATGACAAGACTGCGTTTTATAACACAATAGTTATGCAAATTAAAGCTTCATTGCACAGCTTTTTATGCGTACTTACATTCACACATACTTGTATAATTACATTAACGAGGCATTGGGTAACAAGGTAGGAAGGTTGGCACTTTGAATTTTTGTTACTTTGACATTATTTTACTTGATACTAACGGCATGTAGTTTCTCATAATCCACGTAATAAAGTGACAGTTTAAACTTCGGTCAATTGCAAATGTAGCAATTCGTATACTTATGTTCATTCTGTGGTTCTACCATGACATGTATTTACTATTTCAAATTAAAATGAATTCTTAGAAAATTTACTAAATAACAAATATTATTTTTCAGTTTAAAATAAACAAGTTTTTTTTAGTTTAAACAAGAAGATTATATATGGTTTGTATAGTTTTAAGACTGCGTTGTAATTATTTGCTGTGTTCGCTAAAATATTTCTGTCGTAGAAGATAAAGAGGGATTCCCTCCTAATTGGATCTAAAATTCGCAAGATTCTATTGATAATTACAGGGAGCAATGTAATCTTAATTTTAGCTTGTCACAACAAGTCTAAATCTACGTGCTAATCTACTATTACGAACTAATATGGAATGCCTAGTTACAAGTAAAATCACTCTATAATTGTCGTGACTCGTCATACGCAACACGAAGAATAATGCTTTTATTTTACGTTGGTATTCTGAGAACTAGTAGATTGGAAAATGATTACAATAATAATAAATATTTCAATGTTTAATCAAAAGTTGCTTGTACCTTGTATTTATACATCATAAAGTGTTGGTAATAACCATAAGATTTCAATGAAACAAACAATCTACAAATTTGGTAATTATTGACTGAATGCAATCAATTACAAAGTAATTGTTAACCTTCAATTACAGTCAATTTCTCCTAGTAGCGTTTAATATACGTATATAATGATCTGCATCGTAATTATTTGTTTGCCTTGTGTGAAATTTTTAAAGTTAAATATGATTCATACAAGCTAATACTTACAATAAAAATATTATTGTCTATGTCATAATATGTATATGAAAACTCCTTGTTACTTATCCTAGTTACTACAAACGGATTTGTGATCGGGCTAAGTGGCGCGGCATAATCTATCTCCAACCATGGTCCTAGTCTGATGGATCAAAGAGTCTTTTGAGGTTCGACTGCAGCTGGCCTCGTGATTGGGCTAAGTGGCGCGGATTAAAAAATTTATAACCTAATTTCAGCAATGGACTTTAAAAACGAATGAAACAAATAATACTTTTATTACCCGTAATAACTAACAAAAAATACTTGACCTAATTTATATTTTATTACGAAGCTACAAAAATTAATTGGCATATTATCTCTGATTAAAGAGATAAAATAGCTTAATGTACGATAATCGAGTTCAAATACGTACCAACATGCAATAATGACTTTTCACATACGAGCAATATTACATTTATGATAGATATTGCGGTAGGATGTTGTAAAGCCTGAGAAATTGATCAATGGTTTTTTGCTTCAATAACTCCCACAATTATGCAGTCTATATATAATATTGAGGCAGTGTAAAGTATATACAATTTAACTACGTCAACAATAGGAACAGCATCTAATTAATACTAATACATTTTAATATAGCTTTATAAAGTAAGAAAAACTAGATACCAAAATAACTAAAAGTACCTGTATATGTGCTTCTAATACAGTGTTGAATATATGGAATATTGTGATTTTAAAACAACGTTAAGTTACTTTCACGGTTATAAATAGAAGAACCTCATCATTAGACTGTACATAATTTAAATTTTGTTATCTATACAAATAAATAAAATTGAAGTGTCTGTTTGTAATGTCAAAATACCAGCTTTTTACTAAATGCATATGAAAGTATATACGGTACTTATAACAAAACCACAATTTATAAAATTTTTGTCTGTCTGTCCGTCTGTTTGTCTGTCTGTCTGTTTGTTCCGGCTAATCTCCGAAACGGCTGGACCGATTTCGACGGGACTTTCACTGGCAGTTAGCTGATGTTATAAGGAGTAACTTAGCTTACTTGTATTTTAGAAAAAGAATCAGGGTTCCACGCAACATAATTAAAACCCTAAATTACACGCGGGCGAAGTCATAGGGAACAGCTAGTTTTTTTATAAAATTGAAGTAACAAACTAACTTACAGTCTACTCGATGGTAAGTGGCTATTGTAAACAATGGAAACCTGCAACCATCATTAAATAAAGTTGCCTCTGAGCATGGATTGCCTCACAGCCTCTAACTACACTGGCTGTCTGTAACCTTCCGAACGGAAGACAGCTTTTACACGAGCCTTTCCATTTATAGGGATAATATGCGATCGGATGGATTTATGATCATGGCACCAAAAGTGTTTTTTATAAACAAGGTTGACAAACGAGCCCACAGTCCACCAGATAAGTGGTAATAAAAGGATACTATGACCCATAGACATCTACAACCATCCTCGATTAAGAATCGAAATGGATGCGACCCCTGAGGACTAAGATGAAATGCCTAAGTATTTTACGTCTGACTTCAAAAAAAATGAGATATTAGCTATACCGCCATTAATTTCAAGCCATGAGATCTTTCCAGTAGCCAATATTAACAGAAAATGTGTTGATGGAATTCACCACTCGGCTAATATTATACGTTTAATTATGTTAATAACCCTTTCAAATTTTAAACCTAATGTTCATTTATCTTAATCCTTGATATTAATTTTATTTACAAATAGTTATAAAACAGCTTTTGTGTAATACTGCACATCACTATACTGGCTCTGAATGGAAAAATGATATACATAAATTCATTCATTCATATTCAGCTTATCAAAGGCCATTGCTGGACAAATGCTTGCCCCATAGATTGCCTCATAAGAGTAATATTTCCCATAGTTGCCACACTTGGCAGGCTAGCTGGCAACCAACGTTTTTTTTTATCATTTTGAGTTGTTATACGAAGATTATGCTGCTCATCTCCAGTTTCATTTCCCCCTGTCGCTTCTTACGACACCCATGGGATGATATAGGAGAGCGCAATCTCTTACACCGCTACTACAAGGTGGTAAGTATATTTTAGTGAATAGTTCACGTATTTTATGTAAATTAACAAAACTTCTTAGAGGATTATAAATAACTATTTCTTGCAGCTCATAGCCGTATGTATATTGGCATCAACATGTCAAGCTATATTCCCGTTTCATCATCACCACCACCACCATCTGGCTGTGTCGCATCAGGACGTAAAAAAGAATGACGGACTCCAACATCCTGTCATTATTCCTCATGCTCCTGTTCATCACGTTTCTTTTCATCATGAGTCCATCCATCACATCCCATATTCACACTATGTGCCAATCCATAACGAAGCTCATCATGATCACTTTGTGAGTAATTGTGACTTTTTCAAATGTCACGCTTAAATTGCCTTAATAATTTTATTTTATTATTTTATTTAGAATTTGTTTAAAAGATGGAGACAGATTTGAAAAAGAAACAGAAAAAATATTTTATTACAAGTAAGGGGTGGTAAATGTTCATTAAGTTCATCAGATTCCGAGATGGAACGGGCTCTACCACGTAAAAATATTACAGCATATATTTGTAAATTTTACAGTACGTAAGAAACCCGGGTTTAATCCCCGCCAGCACTAATGAAATTGTTAAATGCAATTTAAAATATTGTTTTACCACGTTCTCGGCTGAAAATTAAAAATATTTCGAAGACATGTAAAAGAATTTTGGTGAGCTAATTGATTATAACACTCTCAGAAATGAGAAAAGGGCTATGTCCAGCGCCGATGTCTAGAGAGACATTATTTAGGCTGTAACTCTACTTATCTTTTACACGTCGTCATATTGATTATTATTTTAAACTTGCATTGAATCCTAATACAGCTGTTACTTGCATTTAGCTTTAAACTGAAGTGACAAAGTAACTAACAGCCAGTCTGATATTAACACTGGAGTCTATGGATAAGTGCAGCCCACTTCAAAGAAAGGAGACTACAAATAAGTCTCAGGACTTCTTAGGAATTAAATGGGATGTCTCAGAGCCTTTAATTTATAGTGTATCTCTATAACCATCAGGTAACAGGGTGACACCTAACCAGACAGACTTCTAGGCAGAAAAGAAGTCTGGATAGGACATACTCGTATTACAAATTTTAAAATGGATGTCCCAATTTGTTTTGTGACTTCCACGCGACAAAACGGCTTTAATTATAAATATAGAATAAATATAGACCAGTATAATTACAAGCTAATTTAATTCAAATTTTATTTTGCATTTACAGCCTATTTTAGTTTGTCAGATTAGTATGATAGTATAATACTAACAATTGAAATAATCACAGGTACATTGTAAGCAAATATATGCGATTATCAGTTACTATTGATTTCCTGACAGTATTAGACCAATTAAAATAATAAGGCTGTATAGTATAGTATTGGTGAGCTCGCAGCACGTACTCTTATAATATAGTAAAGTAAAGTAAAGTTCCAGCCTATTTACGTCCCACTGCTGGGCACAGGCCTCCTCTCATTTCTGAGAGGGTTTAGAACAAGGAAATGTCCGCTGTGCTGCCCCAATGCGTGTTGGCGAACTTCACATGTCTTCGAAATATTTATTTTTCTTATTTCTCAGACATGCAGGTTTCCTCACAATGTTTTCCTTCACCGCCGAGCACGTGGTAAATCAGCACTTAAAATTGCAATTAACACTTTCATTGCTGCCGGCGGGGATCGAACCCGGATTGCTCGAGTACTGTGAAGCTTACAGCGAGCGCTAACCATCTGAGCTACCACGGCTCTCTTTTATGATATAATATAATCTAATAAAAATGTATACGTCATTTTAGAAAAATAATACTAAGATTTAAAAATAACTCAAACAACATGAAACGAACATTGATTTACAATAGTCTGAGATGGATCCGTTTCTACTGTCGCTTTCAATTTAAAAATTTCGAAACGAAAGCGATTAAACCAATAATGCACAGTATTTTCGTTAGGTAGAGCTAGGTCCGTAAATGTCATTGACATTTCTTGCCGGTCGAGACCCATTGTTTCCACATTGTTTAGATATTTAGCTCACTGTTCTTATTTACATTTATTAAATCTATATGTAAATAAAATTTTTTATTTATCTAAACTCTTATTTTACGAATAATCTCTGAGTCCATGGTTGTAACTTATGCAGATTTTGAGAAAATTGCAGAATAACGAAACCGAAAGACTATTTATAAAAAGGAATAACATGCCTTAAATATAATACTTATTTTAAACTTTTTTTTTATAGGATAAGGGTGACAAACGAACACACAGTCCACCAGATGGTAAGTGGTTGCTGCGGCCCATAGACATCTACATCTATCCTCTGTTACAAATCAAAATGTAGATGCGTTGTCACCCGTGAGGACTAAGATGGAATGCCTCATTTCCAGTAAAAAGGGCCTCCGGCCACCTGCACTCACCAAGCTAAACGCAGAGGTAAACCTCTACTTCACGGTGGTTTTCTGTGAGGTCGTGGTACTACCCCGGTTTGAGCCATCCGTGCGACAGCAAAAGCTGCCGCGTGGCTCTACCACTGCACATTAATTTAGAATTCAAAGTAAAACCATAGGTTCATAGAAATCAGCTGTCAGAATAACACACCTCGATCTAAGATGATTAAAATTTATCTTTAAAAATATTACGGAGAGAATAAAACTGGCAAGAATTTTGTTTTAAATTTAATTTGAACTAAGAGTACATAGCTGAATACGTCTAAAATATATTTTAATTGCGGTTGCTGCGCACGCTTCACATTTACGAGTATCTTACCAAATTTATACAATACTTGACACATTGCATTATTTAAATAGAAACCTGTAATTTTTTTAAGGCATTTCCCGAATACAACTTTGCATACGCAGTCCACGACCACCATACAGGTGACGTAAAATCTCAGCATGAGTTCCGTCATGGAGATCTTGTGAAGGGAGGCTATGAACTGTTTGAACATGACGGCCGTTATAGAAAGGTGGAGTACAAAGATGATGACCACACTGGGTAAGTTGTATAATGTATAATTATAGTTTGAGTGTGGTTGTGATTTCATATATTAATTCTATTGTGTATTTTTTATTTAAATCAGAAACAGCCTATAATCACAGATTAAATATTATTACGTGCGTATTCATTTTAGTTCTGTTTTCTTTTTCTTTTTCTAGTTTGCTCGCGTATTGAGTAAATTTTAGGTGAACGCTGATGACATACAACAACTCTATAAAACGATATCATATTGATATGGATATGTGGTTATGTAAGACATGGCGTTAATATATAATATTAACTTCATTCATTCATTTACAGCCCTTTACAAGTCCACTGCTGAACACAGGCTTCCTCTAAGATATACCACAAAGCACGGTCCTGAGCCACCTGCATCGATTGTCTTCTTGCATCTCTTACTAGGTCGGACTAGTCTGAGGGCCGCTTTGTACTTCACTTATGTATAATTGTTTTTATTCATATCCACTTTGAAAACCAAACTGTTTGTGATTCAAAATCAGCCTAAAAATTAATGATTCACAATTCATGATTCCTTCAGACAATTTTAGTTTAGATTCATTACTAATTTTAAAAAAAACCAGCCACAGTAACGTGATTGCATGCTACTAGGGTTTCGATTTCGCGAACATAAAACTTGAAGTAATTGTTAATTTCCTAAAATTCTGTGAATTTTAAATGAAACTTAGAAATCTTATGCTAAACATAAAAACAGTCTTATTAATATAACAATAAACAGGAAAACTTTCAAATTCAACTGTACATTTTAAATGTACGCAATATTACAGAGGTTGTTAAACTAATTATGTATTTTATGTTTCATCGTTTAATTTTATAGTAAACTTAAATACAATGTTGTTCAAAAACAAATACCGATAATAACATAAAATCGGTTTCAAATTTTCAAACCTTTCTAAACAATATTCAAAAATATCCCCATCGATGTCACTATTCCACTTTTATAAAACTTGACATAAAGTAAACATCATAATTTAGTTTAACGGGGTGCAATTAATTATGAACAACAGTCAGCTTATTTGTAAAATGATATAATAATATAGGACGCTTTGAGCTGTTCGTATGATTTTATCGGAACCGTCGCAAATGAACATTTTTTGTTCGTTTCGGTATCGAATGCCGCACAGGAAGAAGCGTTACCTTTCTGTTAAAAACACATATTTAGTTAATATTTTACATTGATTGAAATATCAATTATAATCAGCTCAAGGGTTAAGTGTTTGCCGAAAATTTCACAGTACATGTAAAGCCCGGATTTGATTTGATTTCATTGCAATTTAAAGTACTTATTAAGAAGTAGACAAATAAACATAAAAAAAACTTTAAAAAGGAATATAATGAGTGAACAGAACTAAACAGACTAGCTACGAGTAGTGTGTTCGATAGGGAATAATTGTGAATTTAATTAATTTAATTATGAATATTTTATATTATGTCTGTTTTGGAGTACAGATAACACCAGATGTTCCGCTTAAATTTTCAGGGACTAAATGTTAAGTCGATATTCAATATTAATTAATTAAATTGTACTGCGTCTGTGATCGGTATACACAGAAAAACGTCGCAAATTACTTTTGTGTTTGAGTAGAAATATTCGGAAACTTATAGAGAGTACTAGGCGAAGAATATCTGCCCAGAGTTTTGAAACAATTTGTGACAATTTTGTCAGTTCAATCTTGAAAATTTCTAAAAAAGTAAAATAACAGTCTATATACAGGGTATTTTTGGAACGCTCCCGAAAACTAAGACAGGCGACAGCACCAAGTATACCTTTGATCATGGGTCACAAATAAATTCGATCCTGATGAAAAAAAAATCATCTTTTAACAACGTTTTATTAGCTTTATTCACGCACCATCATGTTAGTACAGCTAAATGAAACGATAATTTCATAAAAAATATCATGAAAATACTGAAACATAAAACCAGCAGTGGAATGACTGAATTGTATCACCTGACTAAAGGTCAATGTACTCGCGAACGCAAATTCGCGCGGCCCGCAACAAAAAAATACTTAAATGAAATGTAACCAAGGTTGGAGTCATGCGTTTTTATTCATCGTGTAGGTATGTTTATTATTCTCATGTATTCAGTTATGTACCTATTCAGATTAGTTCAGTACTAAGTTATTTAAGAAAATAGTTATGAAACAGCTTACCGCTCTAAATCCTCCGTGGTCTTATGAGATGCAGCTCAAATTGTGCTCCATTCATTTCAAGGTAGATTTGGGTGCAGGCGGGGCATCATCGTGTGGTCTTCGACACAGTCCGTACATAGTTTCTCGAAAGCATCCACGATCCTTTGGCGCATTTTGTCAGCACTATCACACTCACGATTAAAAACCCTTTCTTTCACATACCAAAAAGAAGTCTAACGGGGTCAGATCTGGTGAGCGAGGTGGCCAAGCGTGTGGTCCTAGTCTGCCGATCCAGCGATCATCAAATAGCTCATTGAGGCGCTCACGGACGAACCTCACGACATGGTATCGCTGTCTGTTCAGTCGCTGTGGCAGAAACACTGGTCCCAGTATGCGATCCTTAAATAAACCTGCCCATACGTTAACCGACCATCGGGTTTGGTGCCCGGTTTGTCGAACAGCGTGCGGGTTAACCTCTGAATACACGTGTGTATTTCTTCGGTTCCACAGGCCGTTTCTGGTAAATGTCGACTCATCCGTCCAGATAATGTGCTCAATGGAACCAGGCACACGTTGTCGCTGGTATAATAACCAACGGCAGAAAACTCGTCGGCGGTCGTGATCGCCGGGAACTAAAGCTTGCACTTTGTGCAATTTGTATGGGCACATTCGGTTACGCTTCAACACTTTGTGCACTGCACAGTATGACACACTTGTTCCATCCCGACGTCTTAACAATTTATTTGGCGATACTTCGTGTACCTGGGTTCGGATAACATGTTGCTGTATTCACAATCACTATAAAAATACGCGTTAAGCATTATTAAAACAAAAAAGACAAGAATAAACAAAAAAACAAGAATAATACCAACACGTAATCACAAGTAATAACAATACGATTGAGCTGTCGCTCGCGCACGCGTGTACAAAATCAACACGGAACTGTTTCAAAAACTACAATTAATAACGAACCCCAACAAAACTGAAACCTACTGCTAGGACAGTTATTATACTCTTTGTCTACTGCGTCACAGCGTGAGGCGACACGAGCCGGCCGGGTTACATTCTGCCGTCGTCGGGTTACATAAAGAAGGACGCAACTAACAAAAACGTAAAATGGAAATAAAAAATAAATTGATGAATTTTTCTTTCAGACCCTGGGTCTAAAGTATATTAAAAGGTATCTATATGAAAATTGAAATATATACGTAGAGACATGAAGATTTTAAGGACGAACAAATTTTTTGATAATTTGTATATTTATTTAAATAAAACGAATTTTCCTTTTCATCTTAGCTTAAAAAATACACCTGGCAACACAAAAACATCGAAGGAAAGACGCATATAACTATTTGCGTCTTTCCAACCTAATAAATTAAAAAAAACTGCCATTCATTTAACAATTTTACATATTTTGGAAAGGTCATTTGAAGTTGAAAGGACGCTAATAGTAATTTACTACTTTTTTTTTTAATAAATATTAGAAAAGCATTGGTAGTGAGACACAAAAAATAACAACCCGCAACTCTTGAGTAATGATTTTAAAGGGGATATCATACAAGACTTACTACGATAATAATTAAAAATAAATAAAAATTTTGTACAACCGACTTTAATATAAATAATTAAGGATAACTCAAAAACTATTGGTCTGACCTCGATCAAATTTATATGGGACCACATGTGAAACACCAGCTCTTAACAATAAGATATAAGCTCTTAATAATAAGATATAGAATAATAAGACAAGACCAAGAATAATTGAAATTTAAGTAATCGATGCAAATATTGTTAAAGATGACGTAGCAACTGGTTAAATAAGTCTTTTCTTTTATGTTGAATTTGTATAAGTCTTTTCTACTAAAAAAAGTCATCTGTGATCAACAGTTACGTCTAAAATTCTTACGATAATTTCTAAAATATTGATATTTGTGAATATTAAAAAAATTTTGTAGATGCGCCTTCTTATCATGAATCGAATGGTATATTTAACTCATTTATTCATAAATTGTTAGATGCGCCCTTTTTTCTTACGACCGCAGCATTGTTTCGTACCGAGCTAGATACAGGTCGATAGCGGAGGGGGTGTGGGTACAGTCGCGTTCTAAAGTACTACATGGTATTGGGCTATTGTGTTATAATATTATAGTAATTAATTGTTTTAATGTAGAATCATAATAGGTGTTTTACTAGCTACATAGAACTTTGGAAGAGGTGGGAATTAAAAATGGATAATGTTTACATGAGCATTATTTGTTATTTCTATCGTAAAATATAAAGTAGTTTGTAACAAGAAAACTTTAGCTAAGGGTAACACGCCGTCCATTATGACGTCTTGGGTCACATGGAAACCAGATGTTAATGGTGTGTTGGTGTTACTGGATGTTACTTCATCATCACTTTCATCTTCGCTTGAGCTTCCGTCATCAGGTCGATCACATGGTAATTTTTTCGGTATTCTTCCTCCACACTTTTAACTTTACTGCACAATTTTCCCCATTCACCTTCTCCTATCATATTTACCTTTTCGATCACTAGTTTAGTCATAAAACAATAGATATAAATAATTTTTCTTTCCTTCCTTTTTAAAACATCGTCGCGAGTCGCAAAGTAAGCTGTGTATGCGACTGTATTTTTGGAGCGAACAAAGCGCGGGAACCAATAGCATGCAGGCACACTAATACTGGCGGATTGTTCCCCCGTCGCGCGCCTTTCGTACCAATATGTGATAAATCGGTCAGTGCCCAAGTTCAAGGCCAGCGTTTGTTTTTCACCGTTCGCGCGTACATTAACCTCCATTAGTCAGGTGATATCAATTCAGTTTCCACTGCTGGTTTTATGTTTCAGTATTTTCATGATATTTTTTATGAAACTATCTTTTCATTTAGCTGTACTAACATGATGGCGCGTGAATAAAGCTAATAAAACGTTGTTAAAAGATGATTTTTTTTTCATCAGGATCGACTTTATTTGTAACCCATGATCAAAGGTATACTTGGTGCTGTCGCCTGTCTTAGTTTTCGGGAGCGTTCCAAAAATACCCTGTATAGCGAACTACATACGTCTTAATTTTTTTTCTCATTTTCCAGATATATAAGTTTCCTCAAGACGTTTTCCTTCACGGAGAGCAGGTGATAAATCAGATCTACAAATTACAATTAACAATTTCGTTGGTGCCGGCGGCGACTAAGCCCGGGTTGTTCGCTACTGTGAAATTAACAGCGAATGTTTAGCACCTGAGCTACCATGGCTCTATGGGCTATGACTCTTTACAATAGTTATAAAATTTAAGATGTAGTCAAAGCGATTATTTATTTTTCATTGAGATATATGTATATATATATATATATATATATATATATATATATATATATGTATATATATATATATATATATATATATGTGTGTGTGTGTGTGTATATATATTAAGAAAAATGTATATTCGCCGGATATAAATTTACAAGCACTAATATCAAATGGCGTGTAGTGGCACTAATATCAGATGAGCAGCAGCATCTTCCTGATAGTAGCCGAAATTACAATAAAAAAAACTGCGGTTGCCAACCCGCTCACCAAGCGTGGCAACTATGGCAAATACCCCCCCTATGAAGAGAGTAACAAAGAGACGGCCTCCAGTCCCCGGCGGCCCCGCTATTCCTGGCTTCGGTGGCGACCATGGTAACGGCGGGGAAGGGGTGCTAAGAATCTCCGGTGGAGGTTCGGTTGCCACCTTAGACGACTCGACCTGGCAACATACAACACACGCACCCTGAGGACTGACGAGAAGATCGTGGAGCTGGAAGAAAAGATAGACAATTACGCTGGCATATTATAGAATTATCCTAAGTCCGAAGAGAGGGTGAGGACACGGTAATCCTCGAATCCGGCAATCCGGGAGGGCGACCATCTGTCCCAAGGAGGTGTCGGATTTATCGTCCACAAGTCTCTCGTTAACAACTTTATAAAGATCGAAAGTGTGTCGACGAGTGTTGCGTACCTTATACTCAGAATCACCAAACGGTATTCGCTGAAGGTCATATAGATTTACGCACCAACCTCGGCACACCCCGATGAGGAGATGGAGGAAATGTATGAGGATATCCCTAGAGCCTCCTGCATTCCTCCAAAACCCAATATACATTATATGAATACCAATATACACAATATAATTCAATGCAAAACTAGGCACAAGAGAGAACGGTGAGCTAAAAGTAGGGAAATTTGGAATAGGGCAACGGAACCCAAGGGGCCAGCAGCTGACCGACTTCATGGAGAAAGAGGGACTCTTTATGATGAACTCTTTCTTCTAGAAGCGGCCCTACAGGAAGTGGACCTGGTCGAGCCCCGACGGTTCCACAAAAAATGAGATTGACTTCATTATGACGACCAGACGACAACTGTTCAGTGATGTCTCCGTGATCGCGAGGGTGAAAACTGGTAGCGATCACCGAATGGTTAGAGGCACACAGAACCTAACTAAACGTTAAGTTGGAGAGGTCCCGTCTAATGAAGTCAACGCTCCGTCTCCCTCGTGCTCTGTTCCAAAGTCCTGAAACCTTTCAGCTCGAGTTACAAAACCGTTTTCAGTGCCTATAAAACTGCAATGAAGTGGACGATATGAATGACAAGCTCTTGGAAACTGTCCATGCGGTCGGAGCTGAGTTCTGCAAGACCCGCCGCAGAAGAACACAAAAACTCTCCGATCACACTCTTAATCTCATGGCTGTTAGACGGGAAATGAAGCTACATTCTTCAACAGATTTGACAGCATACAGGCAACTGAACAGACAGATCTCCAAATGCATGCGGCGGGACTTACGCAACTTCAATACAGCTTGTATTGAAGATTCGATCGAGCGGAACCAAGGCTCCAAAGTCTTTGCCAGAGATCTGTCTGCCAGAAAGAGTCAACTGTCAAAGCTGAGGACCGAGTGTGGCAGCATCGTTTCCGGGACACCTGAGATTTTGAGTGAGATTGAGAGGTTCTATGGGCAGCTGTACACGTCATCGTTGGAGCCACACGCAAGTGTGAGTAACGATCCAAGAGCGAGTCTTATCCGACACTATTCCGAAGATATCCCGGGATATCTGAGTGAGATTAGAATGGTTGTCCAGCACCTTAAAAACGGCAAGTCCCCGGGCGAGGATGGAATTACAGCAGAGCTTCTGAAAGCGGGTAGAAAACCGGTACTTGAAGTCCTTCAGAGGCTCTTTAATTCTGTCCTCCAGGGTGGCATTAAACCGGAGGCGTAGAGCAGAAGTGCGTTGGTCTTGTTCTTCAAGAAAGGTGCTCACGCTCTCTTGAAGAACTTCAGACCGATTTCCCTTCTGAGCCGCGTCTACGTGACGACTTCCATCTTCCCGAACAAGCCAATTTCCGAAAGGGCTTTAGCACCATAGACCACATACATACCCTTCGGCAAGTTGTACAGAAGTCCAAGGAGTACAATTTGCCACGATTCCGTCAAAATTTTGGCGTTGCTGCAGTCCCTTCAGCGGTGCCAAGTTGACTGTCGGTATATCGAAGTGCTGAAGTGCTTGTACAGTAGGGCTACGATGGCTAACCGAGTACAGAACCAGAGTACGAAACCTATCCAATTGCAGAGAGGTGTAAGACAGGGTGACGTTATATCCCCGAAACTCTTCACCGCTGCATTGGAAGACGTTTTCAAGCTTCTGGACTGGAAAGGATACGGTATTAACATCAATGGCGAGTACATCACTTACCTTCGATTTGCTGACGATATAGTACTTATGGCAGAATCGCTGGAGGATCTAAGCACCATGCTCAATAACTTCAGTGTGTCTCCCAACGGATAGGTCTTCAGATGAACATGGACAAAACAAAGATCATGTTCAATGTCCAAGTCACAACTATGCCGGTAGTTGTTAGGAACACTAAGCTCGAAGTTGTTGACTAGTGTGTTTACCTGGGACAAATAGTCCGACTAGGTAAGTCCAACTTCGACCGAGAGGTCAATCGACGGATTCAACTCGGCTGGGCAGCGTTCGAGAAACTACGACACATCTTCTCGTCAGACATTCCTCAAAACCTTAAAACGAAATTGTAAAACCAGTGCGTGTTGCCAGTGTTTGACTTACGGATCTGAGACGTGGTCCTTCACTGTTGGCCGTATGGGGAAGCTCAAGCTGGCTGAGCGAGCTATAGAGAGGGCTATGCTCGGAGTTTCTCTGCGTGATTAACTTAGAAATGAGGATATCCGCAGTAGAACCAGAGTGACCGACATAGCCCAACAGATTATTAAGCTGAAGTGGCAGTGGGCCGGCCATATAGCTCGAAGAACCGACAACCGATGGGGAAGAAAGGTTCTTGAGTGGCAGCCTCGTACCGGTAGGCGAAGTGTAGGGCGACTCCCCACGAGATGAAGTGACGACCTGGTAAGAGATGCAGGAAGTCGATGGATGCAGGTGGCTCAGGACCATGCTTTGTGGCATTCCTTGGGGGAGGCCTATGTTCAGCAGTGGACTTATGAAAGGCTGTAATGATGATGATAAATATCAAATGGAATTTAGAAACAAAAGCATTTAAATTACTTAACTAATTTAAAGTGCTATCAATGAAAGATATAACTATGATTCAAATATTATATATTTGAAGCGTCAGTAGCCTAATGGCAGGACGCGGACCGCGAACTCGAAAGGTCGTGGGTTCGAATCCGCCATTCGACTACTGTCGTGAATCACTTCTAACACAAGCATTTTAAGCTTACCAGAAGTGGTTAAAGGGAATATTAGTAATGTATAATATATAAATAAATAATAACATTACTAGTATTTTTTTAAAAAAAAAAAAAAAAAAAAAAAAAAAAAAAAAAAAAAAAAAAATATAAATTGGATCGAGGAGTTCGCATGAGACTTCATTCGTACATACATGTGTACCTTTGCGTTTGCGCTGAATACCACTAAGGTTCTCTGAGACTTGTGCAGAATTATACTGTGCAATGATGGATAAACTTGATGCATTCTCATCTCAGCGCGTTTATGACATGTTATTGATGGTGAATCTTGGATCCACCCATGGCTCAGAGGTTGTTTCAAAGTAAACTGAATAAAATAAAAAGCGTAGTCATTTCTTACAGTCCCGAAGGTGCTAAATCAACTCAAAGGGAAACCGTTTCCGACGTGATAAAATAGAACTTTTCGGCAAGAGGTATGGACTTTTCTAATTTATATAATATAATTCTACAATTGTATTGCTGTTAGAGTTAGAGAGTACTTAAAAAGATGTAATAATAAAACTTGGCGTAAGATATTTTATTTTTATTTCTGCAATATTTTCGTAGTATTCCGTTTACATTGACTAAAAATATTAATAAAAAGTACTGTTTTATGCCATTTGAACTTTACTATTAGATTTAGATTCGATTTTGCGGAAACATATTCATAAATTGTTTGTATTTTTTAGGTTTAACGCAGTGGTTCATCACTCGTCACCTCATCATCATGTTCACGTGTTACAGCATCACTTTTAAACTGGAATGCTGCAATTCTCCATGACTCTAAAAATTGTTGTACTTGTCTAATGTTTTAAAATTTGTATAATATTAATATGCTGAGTAATAGGAAATAAAGATATTTTATTGAATCAGTGCTCTTTTGTAAGTTTTTTTTTTGTATCAATCACATTCAATACATAAAAGCAACATAAAAGTGACGTCATAAAACTGAATAATTTCTTGCGACCTTTTTTAACAAATACCATTTTCAAATGTCAAATAACTGCTGTCTCTTCTTTTAAACGCCTTTAGAGGATTTTTCTTTTCACTCTATCTGTCATTAGCAAGCACGGTACACTGAGCGCAGATAAAGTTTTGAGAAAAAAATTATAACATCTTCCTTTACACCCCAAAATTATAACATAATTATAATATTCTCTTTGGTGGCCACATAAGGGACTCTCATTTCGTCCACTAGGGACGTATTTTACTACTAGGGAAATAATTATCTAAAACAAGAGTCATAGTCTCGTGCATAGCGGGGAAGATTTGTTAAGATCACCATGCTCGGTAGGTTATCGACGATTACAGTGCAATGCGTCCGGTCGCTGGTCTGGGTTTTTACTCCTGGTATATTTATTGTTCTCAAAGGTAATCACAAATCTACTTGCACGGAGAATTGCCTGACGACTTCAAAGCTCCGAAGCAGAACGGGTCTCATAGATGTTTTCAAGATGCTAACTAGGAATGAGCGCTTCACAGTAAACACATCTTCCACTTCTTCTCTCCGGAATCTTTCCGAAGTTTGGAAGTTCATACGAATTTAAACAAGATGATATTCATTTTTATTTATATTGTACATGCCTACCATATCCGAAGAACTTTGATGGTGAGATTATTGAAGTTGTTAAAAAGTATAATATATATATTTTTTTTATAATATAATAATGACAAACGAGTACACATTCCATCTGATGTTAAGTAAATGATGTGGTCTATATACACCTACATTTATCCTCAGTTAAAAATCAAAATGCAAATGCGTTGTTGCCCCTGAGGACTAAGATGAAATGTCTCGTTTCATGTAAAAAGGGTCTCCGGTTCTCTACACTCAACATACTAAACAGCAAGTAAACAGCAGTATTAAGCTGCAATTTACTCTGATATTCTGTAGGCGAGCGTGGTTCTACCCCGGTTAAGCTGACCCATTCGTACTGCAACCATAATATAGCTGCATCATGTCTCAACTACGTACAAAAACGTATACTTATCATCGAACAGTAACTGATAAGCAGATGAGCTGGACAATCATTCGGGAAGCTTTGTCAACTGCTGTCGTTGTCCGTAGTACCAAGACAGAAGAAGAAATTATTCTATTTTATATAAGTATCTAGAAACGAAAGGTACGACTACACTATAAACTTAAATTCGCTAACCGGGCGATAGAAAAAGGTATTCCAGGTGACCGTTAAGTGAGCGGTGAGCCACCGTAGAGTCTACATCACCTGAGGATACCTCGTATAGAGGCGAAACACGTGACGTATTGTCGTCAGTGGTGTTGGGAGTAGCGGTGCTGCGATTAGTAGTGACGGGGATAGTGCACGCAATGGAGGGAGGGCGGGAGGTGCTCTTCATACTTGATAAGATACATCATTTTATTTTATAGCGCGGATGTTTGCGAAGTAACTTTTTTAAAAACTTTTATATAATGGATTTCCGCAAAGTAACGCCTGATTCTATTAATTATATTAAATTGTAATTAATGTTTAAAAAAGTCCCGCTGGAAGAACTTCCTATGAGAAAGGTTTTAACGAACCAGTGGTAAAAGCATAAATGACTTTCTATAAGTATTCTTGTGTTCAATTTTGATTAAAAATAATTCTATTCCATTCTTTTTCAGAAAAGTAGCAACCGTTGGAGAAAATGTGATAGAATGTAATAGTGACCGCGTTTGGTCATTCACATGTGGAATGCCTCCTGGCTGGAGGAAGCTACGTTCTACGAGAGATAATCTGCGAAAGCAGCAACTAAATGAGAGAATTCTAAGACTGGACAAAATTTCGGGTCTTGGGCGTGTAGGGTGATTACAACTGTTTGTGTTTGTACTAGCTTTTTCATTCTTCCACTCCAATGACGTCCATAGAATAGAAAAGATGGAATAAAAAAATCTCTTACAATGTTTTATTTTATTTATTAAACATAATTATGTTACATTATCCAGTACAATACTAGCATATAAACCTCTACGGGTCGGGTTTATCTACGCTAGAGAGTCGTCTTATAGAAACAAAGATGTATTAATATTAAATCACAATATTCTAGTATGAAGTACTTACTACTCGTAAAATAAGTATGGTTGATATAACAAATATAATTTAAGTTTACTTTTAAACAGTTTTGATTTACTGTATGTGTTTTGTAATTCTAGTGGCAAGGCATTAATAAAAGTAGGTACAAGGTGGGCCAACGTTCTTGCTCCATAGAAATTTTTAGTTTTCGGAAGTACATACATGTTGGATTTATAAGCTATTTTTATTTCGTAGATTTACAGGTCGTTTTCTAAGAACTAGATATTCTGAATTATTTTCTTTAGTCAGTATATTAAATTTAACTTTAGCGAAAACATTTATGACTTTGCAATAAATAAAAAGACCCTGGTCATTTTCTATATACTTATTTTTAATATGCTTGGTTACCACGTAGCAATTAATTCGATCTGTTAAAGCGTGGTCTTTTCCCGGCCGAGTCAACCCATTCGTAATGTAGGTATTCATACCATATGTATACAATTACAAATAACAATTTAACTACATTTTATATCTAAATAATTTATCATCAGATACGATTTTAAACCGGGAAATTATTTCAAATTTAACTTGATAAAAACTTTTTTAATCGTAAAATAAAGAGAGCTTGAGAATTGAGACAAATTTTGTTAGCTCGCTAAAGTGTCTTTAGCAATAATATTCACGGGCCGACGATAGAAATAATTACAATGATATCTCTGTTTTTCTAACTATATAATTGTAAGAGCCCGAAAATTTAATAACATATAAATGCTACTATAATATACTAATTCGGGAAATCGTAATTAAAGGGGAAACATGATAATTAATCAGCAACTTTATTATCCTTTGTATAAAAACCTGTTGATCTAAGGCAAGAATTAGTTTTACCTACGAACCGCATTGGAACTAGCAAAGATGACTTGGAAGGTAAATCGATCAATACATTTTTTTTTCATAATTGCATTATAATATTATGAAATCAATAATTGAATTAATTTAAAAATATAAAGTAGTAAACATACTCACACTTTAATTATCAGCGCATCTGGTTAAAATTTAAGATTTTCTCTGGTTCTTTTATTATTTTTTTTTAAAAAACGTTACCCCCACACTAGGATTTTCTCCTGTATCGTGGAGGCAGTTTACAAACACAAATTGCACGAGGACGAACATCCAGACCCGGAACAATTATTTGTAGGCCATACAAGTACTTGTTCCGTGCGGGATTCGAACCCGCGGCCCCCAGCGCAACAACTCATTGCTAAGCCACTGCGCCACGGAGCCGTCTAAATTTAATTCAAGAGATTCTGTTTCTGGTTAAATTTAATAAATTATTAAGATCGGCCTATCAAAGAAATTATAATCACCAACCAAATTTTTGTAGACATTTCAAAATACTATGTAGAACATATTCCCTCACAGTCCCACAATTCTGACCTTTATAATGGGTATTTAAAGAACGAGAAATAGTTTAGACTCTGTAAATATTCTGGTGATTCAGGAAGTATGTAGTAGAAACCACTTGAGACAAATCATTTTGATATTGGAACCAGTTGAAACCAAATGTAATGGCGTAATTACACGTTTAAAAGAATTTCATATCCAGTTTTATCATAAATAACTATATCACGATCTTAGGATATAAAATAATAGTGCTGTGAAAAATTCGGACAATATAGCAAATATTTTTCTGCATTTAGGCGACATGATCAGTGACATTAAATATCTTAATATCTGGTAATTATACTAACTAACTGTACTTAATATTTTGGTAAGATATGAATATGTTTTCTATTTTTAGTTTCTAATACTGTTGGGTCTTACAATGGGCAGCCATGCTCACGATCATCAAGCAATTTCTCATCAAAAAATAGTTCAACATCACTTGCCTGGTCATGACGGTTATTATGGTGAGCTTTCACACATTGGAAATCATGCACCTGAACATCATGAGGAATACGTAAGTGGTTTTGATTATTTATCATATTGTATATCTTATTCACACCATAATAATACGTTTATTTAAAAATATATAAGTATGCAATTAATAATACCGTTTTTATAGGCCTGGTCGTATCCTTCATATGAGTTCTCGTATAAAGTGGCTGATCCTCATACTCATGATAATAAGGGGCACCATGAAACCAGAGACGGAGATACTGTAAAAGGAATGTATTGGTTGATTCAACCAGATGGTCTCAAACGCACTGTGACCTATTACGCGGACAAACACAGTGGGTAAGGGAAATTTTTCTTTAATACAAAACTTTGAAAACTTAACCCAGTTTAGAAAGATCGTCACGCAAGTAAATAATAAACGTGTGTTATATAATATCAAGACTTTTTCGTTTCTATAGAGATTTTCATATTTTTTTTTTTACTATTATTAGCCAGTGTTTGACTACTATCCCACCTAATAGTAAGTGATGATGCAACCAGAGGTGATAAAACTTACTGACTTAACTAACAAATACAAATTAGTACATTACAATGGGATAGATAGACAGATGCTGGAAAATTATTAATAAATACAAATCATAAATACTACTTCTTTACTCTGCATTTTTTGCGCAGATAGTGCAAATTGAACAAATCCAAATAGATAACATAACAAGGAAAGACACGATACATAGTTATTTTTTTCTTTAATAAAAACCATTTTCTTTTTCAGGTTTAATGCTCACGTTGAATACTCCGATCCCTATCACCCTGAACAAGTGCATCAAGAACATCAAGTACCAAAATCTG